ATATAAAATTGTGCTGTTTAAAATATTATGACAGCATTTTATGTTTAGATTCATCCTGTCACGGTTGCTTGCTTGAAGGGATTTTCCAGCACAGATTCCCCCTTGCCAATAGCTTTGTTCACCCTCCCACCACCCCAAGGAATTTTAACAGCTGCCAAAGGTCTGGCAGGATTTAGTAAACGGCTGTCCAATTTTTTTTTTCCATGTTGGAGTTAGTTTGCAACTTTTAAGAATTTGAAAAAAGAGAGGAAAAAATCCTGTCTCATTTTGTGTTTAATTTTTTTTCAGTGTATTGTAGGTCTCATAAAATATAATGCATCCTTCTCTCAACTACGGTATAGGTCTGTCAATCAACAATAAATTAATAACCTCAAAGGCCATGACTAATCCTGAAGTACATAATATCATCAGGACTAGTCATTTTCCTAAATGCAGCAAGTCCTCTAGGGGACACTGGCAGGTCGGAGAGGAGAATGATAAATATATCTTTATGTACATGCTGTATAATTTTGCAAGAAACTCAGCAACCATCAGAGATATTTATATAAGAACTTCGATGGATGCATTGTGTGGCTGCTAAAAAGAGGGCTCACTGGGAGGGACCATTCACCAGGTCCTGAGTCACATAGGAACACACATCTGCAGAGGGAGATGGGGCAGAGGGTGACTATCCTCATGCCAGGCACTAGACTAGAGGATGAATGGAGGTGGGGAGGCCATCTTCTGGTGGATATGGAGGAGGTTCATTAAGGAAAGGAGAGGGAAGAAAAGGTGGTAGGGGGAACAAGAGTCAAGTTCCCCATTCTCTCTCCACAAGTGTAAGGTTCATTCATGAATACTGAGAACCTGCTCGCATGAATTTTGACGTTGACTTAAATAAGAACAGGATCAGGCCTAAGGGTCTTTAACACAAAGGTTATCATGAGTGTGGGTTTATCAGTTACACTGATGACCTTGTGTTCGTAGGGAAGAGTGACTTTGTGTTTTGGCACTAGTTGAATATGCACATGCTGTAGGGCAAATAGCGGGGATTAATGACGGATATATAAGGTTATGCTCATAATGCTAGCTATTGATCCATCAACCTTGCATTGTGGCCGTTTGCCAAAGTATCCTAAGTACTTAGGAGAGTCCAGGGCTGTAAACTAAATGCTGACACATATATGATTTAAATCAACTTTAACATCTGAAAAAGTAAGATAGTAGATTTGGATTTTGTCAGAAGACTGAAACAAAGTGCTCCATTACAAAGTACGTACAGCAGGGGTCTCAAACACGCGGCCCCCGGGGTTATTTTCTGTGGCCCGCGAGCCCCTCACAGCCCCCCCGCCCTTCCCCCAGTGTTTACCTAGAGCGGCTCCGGCCGGACATGCACCGGGGGCAGGGCAGGCTCCCTGCCTGCCTGCCCTGCCCCGCGCTGCTCCGGGAAGAGGCTGGCACGTGGGGAAGGGGGGGCACGTGGGGAAGGGAGGGTCTGTGTGTTGCTGTTACTTCAGGCAGCGCCCCCAGCAGCTCCAATTGGCCGGGAACGGGGAACCGCAGCCAATGAGAGCTGCTGGGGGCGGTGCATGAAGCAACAGCAACACACAGCCCCTCCGCCCCCCCTTCCCCACATTCCAGCCTCTTCCCGGAGCAGCGCGGGGGCAGGGCAGGCAGGCAGGGAGCCTGCCCTGCCCCCGGTACACGCCGGGCCAGATCCTGCCCCCCAAGCCCCTCCTGCAGCCGAACTCCCTGCCCTGAACCCCCTGCCTCACCCCGCACCCCTCCTGCATCCCAACCCACTGCCCTGAGCCCCCTGCCGCACCCTGACCCCCTGCTGTACCCCTCACCCCTCCTGCACCCCACACCCCAACTCCCTGCCCTGAGCCCCCGCCACACCCCACACCCCTCCTGCACCCCCTAGGGGCAGGGAGGGGGCAGAGTTGGGGTGGGGATTTTGGGGAAGGGGTTGGAATGGGGGCAGGGAAGGGGTGGGAAGAGGCGGGGCAGGGGCGGGGCCTCATGGAAGGGGTGGAGTGGGGGCGGGGCCGAGGGCGGCAGGGGTGAGGTGTCAGTGATGCGGCCCTCGGGCCAATGTACTAGTCCTCATGTGGCCCCCATGGTCATTTGAGTTTGACGTACAGCAATGCTGACTGATGTCACAGTTCATGTTTTACACAAGATTTGGCTAGAGCATATAATTTGGCTAGAGTTACTTTGTTTTAATGCTATGTAAAGAAAGGCTTATTTGAATACAAGATTTCATTTGTAATCTGGTTTAACTAACCTTGTTAACTAATTCTAATGAATATTTTGATATTAACTTGCTTAATTAATTCTGCCGGTATGATATGTAGATGCAGATTTCTTAGGGCCAGATTGTAACTGGCTAGAACACAGAAATTAATAGGAAGAGGAAGCACACAAGGAGGCTCCTACTCCATTACCCATCACATGACACTCACAGTTCTTGTGTTCAGGGGATTGCAGGAGCTGTCCCCTCCATACTTCTGCCAGGGGTGCATATTGCCACAACGATGTGGAGAAAAAGGTGGGGCAGTGTCCTCCACCCCCACCCCTGCCAATGGACAATCAAACTAGGGGAATATAATGCAGACACTGGTAGGATGTAGCAGCAAATGTGGTCCCAGAATTCATCATGGAATGATGCAGCTTCCCAGGGCTGTGTCCATTGGCGTGGTTAAAACCTTTAAAATTAGCCATACAGCCATTGTTCAAATAGTGCTATGGCCTGATTCCACAACCTTTCCTCACGTGAGTAGTCTTTATTTGTGCAAATAGTCCCGTTACAGTCAGTGGGAGGCAAGGTTACTTGTGTGACTAAGTGTTGTAGGATTAGGCCCTTTTGTGCAGTGTATTTGTAGCTGATTGGTGGCAAGAGCAATCGTTACTAGAAAAAGAACAATATTCACAGCAAATTAATCTGATAGCTCATCTCCCTGTGTATATTGTAACATGAATTTGTCCTGCAAGAGTTTTGCCCAGCTCAAATTGAAAACTCTTGGTTAAATTATATTTGCTAGTTCAAAGTGTTTTCTAAAGGCTATAGTATATATTTATCTTTCTGTAGTTTTCCATATGAACTTGCTGTAGATTTACAATCTAATAAAAATCATACTTGTTCAAAACTAAATACAGCAAAACCAGTATTAACTGGCAGCCCAGGGAACCAGCAATGTCAGTGGCCTCGCAGAAGTAGACTTTTACTAAAGGTCAAACAGAAGTGTACTTGAATCCTTACAGACACTTTAAATTGGTCCCTTGAGAAACAGAATTGCATGTTAAAGGTTGTATTTAAGTGGAGGTTTCAGTGTAATGTAGCCATGCACAAGAAAAACCTTGTTTTTCAGAAATCAGTTATAAAGTTATGGTTTCATTCTGCAGTTGGATTTCTTATTATGACTTGATCAGTGTAATAATATAGATGATATGGAGGGATTTAAAATCTGCAGTGCAGTAATCTGAAATTAAAGCTGTGCAGGTGTGCATTTTAAAAAGGTGTTAATTGAGTAGGATACATAGAAACATAAAGCAGGGATCAGGTGCAGGTTTCTTAGTAAAAACAGAGCGTACAAATCCTGAGCTCTGTAATCTGCAGCCTTTCAAGATATTACCTCACCCACCTTGTTTTTTTCTGCAGTCATTTAAGAATTGGTCTGTATTACATATCTGTCATGTTTCTGAGTTTCAGTGTGGATTTATAACTTACCAAGAGACTGTTCAGAGTTGTGAACTGTTTCCAAATAAAAAGCTTTTTCATTGCGACTTCTGGATTGATTTTCTACCACCTGAACAAATGTAGTATTCCCTTTCCTTCCCTCTGTGCTAGCCTGGGGCTGCCTAGAATGAGCTTATTAAGGGGAAGTTTGAGCCCTTTTAAATAGTTTACGCTGCTGTTCCGTAAAAATAAGAACTGGTAGCAGAATGTAAGATTATTGGCAAAACTGTATGAAAAGTTAACTTGCTGCAGCATGGACGGTGTAAAAATAAGTGAGCTTCCCATGAGTCTACGCTGGCTTCTTTGTGGTGTTGAATCTGCCTAATTTATAAAAGCAATGTTTATAAGACTTCAAGCTCATTTATTTGTAATCATTTAATCATCCTTAAAGGAGAAAAGTAGGAGACAGCTATTGGAATTCATTGTTGTTCATCAGAGTGTCAGTGTTCTGTATTGCTAAGGTTTGTGGGCCACGTTTCCACGAGAGCCCAGCACCCGTAGCTCCCACTATGCTGAATTTTCACAAGAGCTCATCTCCTGGCAGCTGCAGTTGAAATCAATGGGTGCTGTACATTTCTGAAAATCCAGCCGCTTACTCAGGTGCCTAAACAGGAGCTGAGCTTGTCTAAAAACCCAGTCGCAACCGTGAGTGCTGAGCACTTCTGAAAATCTGCCATTTCCCCCTACCTTTAGTAATGCAAACTCATACATTTAGTCTCGTTGCCCTATCAAAAGACAATTGACTGGTTCAAAGTAGAGCTCTGCTCTGTCATTCATAGAATATCAGGGTTGGAAGGGACCTCAGGAGGTCATCTAGTCCAACCCCCTGCTCAAAGCAGGACCAATCCCCAGACAGATTTGGCCCCCTCAAGGATTAAACTCACAACCCTGGGTTTAGCAAGACAATGCTCAAACCACTGAGCTATCCCTCCCCCCTCCATACTTGAACAACTTGTCTGCTTGGATTAATTGGTACCGTGAAGGGGCAATATTATTACCATGGAAGAATCCACCTTCCTCTGAAACTCTAATAGGTTACGGGAAAGGCACTTTGCCAGATTCATGTTTGTTTAGTCATTGGCATATGTCTCTCTGTGTAATAGGAATCTTTACAGGAATGCAAATGTTTGCAGTAGATCCTGGAAAAAGAACAACTCATTACTACTTCTGATTTTAATTATCCTATGCCTTGTTAGTTTTTCAGCCATCACCAGACAAGTTTATGTTTTAATGATGATGGAAGTTAAAAGTTTCATGTTGGCATTATTGTGTTATTCTTTAGGGACATTCCAGCTATATTACACACCTTGACTGGTCCCCGGACAACAAGTATATAATGTCAAACTCAGGAGACTATGAAATACTATACTGTAAGTATGAAATTAAATTATATGTACGGGACAGAAATTTGCCTTAGCAATCATAATACATGGAAGAATGTATGTGGTCAGGGCGGTCTGTGCAAAATGCTTTCTGACAAAGGAACTAATTTGAACTTTTGTAACCTGATATCCTGATATTATTCAGAGCTGTGTATTACCTAATGGCAATTCCAAATATAGTTTACTTCTCTACAAGGTCATAAATCAGGATAACAACTTAGAATTTACAGAACAAATGGCACTAGGTTGTGATGTTGCTCCAAAAGGTTTTGCACTTTGAAAATAGTATGTATAAGTTGTCTATTTAGTATCAACAGTGTGATCTATTGAAGTGTGTAAGATTTGAAAGAGAAAAGCTTGAACCAATACCAGTATTTATATAGCTGTATATTTAGTATTTGCATACCTTGTGCCTTTTTTAAATGTATGTGTTTATTTAACTATTAGATGTGTCTAATAGCAACTATGCAGAACCACACCTAAAGCAAGGTGAGCTGGTCAGAGCACAGACATTTTAATCTATTTTAAAAAATAGATTTCCCCCCCCTATTCTGTTTGGAGGAAGTCATCAGTTTGGAATTGATGGGCTGTGGCTCCTTTCTTTACAGGCATGAAGAACCTCTATTCGCAAATGAAAAATGACTAGCACCTTCTCAGGTCTATTCCACCCATTGCAACTCAGCTGTCAACTGTCAGCTGATAGTTCTGTATCTGAATCTGCCCAAAGTTTCTGTGACCTTAATTGTCTATGGAGTGAGGTGAAGGGCTGCAACCCATCAATGCCAAACTGCTGAACAGAAAGACATAATCATTCCCTTTCTGGTTACAAGGTGAAAGGGAATTGAGACTCCCATGGCAAATGGTTCCTCACTAACCAGAATCATGATTTTTTAAAAGTGAACTTCCTGAGTGAGTGAGTGAGTGAGTGACTACTAATTCTAACAAGTATGGGGTCTGGCAGCATGGGGGCTGAGATGTTCATTGAAACATTTTATAAAGCACTTAATGAGGGAGCCAAGAAATGGGGGGTGGGGGTTACTTCCCAATTCTGATCTTAGGCCACTGTAAATTAGAAGTAATGGAAGGTGAAATTGAAGTAGTTGGAGATACACAGGTGTAAATGAGAGGAGAGTCAGGCTCTTGGGTCCAAAATAAAGCTCAGAAGTACTTGGAATTTGGTGAAGGATCTCTCCCATGATGGAGGAATCTAGTACTGGCATTGTCATTGGCTTGCCAGAATGATTCAAAAATGGTTTAAAAAATTGCACTTAATTAGTTTCTCCAACATTCTTAGTGTCTTCAAGGAACAAAATAGGTGGATCTAATTCATATGCCATTACTGTTAATTCACTTCTTTTAAAGGGGACATTCCAAGTGGCTGTAAACTTATCAGGAATCGTTCGGATTGTAAGGATATAGATTGGACGACGTACACTTGTGTGCTAGGGTTTCAAGTGTTTGGTAAGCACCATTTAACTTGCTTTTAACTTGCTTTTACCCTTTGTTTTGTTTAACCTTTATTATGATAGATTTTATCATTGGAAATACTCGATTAATGATCATGGTACGGTTATTGGAATGTCAGTACAGAATTGCTTCAGTTACCTCATGGTAGTATTATCAGATACCCCCAACAATTCCCTTATGTCTGACACACCATCCCAGGAGACTGACCTCAATGCTGGTCATGTGATCAGTCTTAAGCAGGATGTAGCTCTCTGAAGGTAGATATTCTCCATAGATAATACATATTCATCTTCCATTTAATATTGCAGGTTTGGGATTTTTTTGTTCTACTCATTTTAGACTCTGGAGTTTGGCCCTTGAGACATAAACTGTTGTGTTTTGAGAGATGGTACTGGGGATGGGAATGGGGAGGAGAGAAATACAATAAAGATCTGAGGTGTATACTTCGTACTGTGTAGTCCATGACTCAGGAGGGTGGCTACACCATTTGAGGACTACAATCAAAGATCAGCAATGTGCCCTATGTCTGCAAAGGAGGAGTGCTTTAAAAAATGAAGCAGATTTTTTAAAACAAATCTACAAAAATTTAAAGAACGGACAGTGTTATGTATGATTTTTATACCAAAACTCAGGGCTGTGGCTGAATAGTTCAAGTTATTTTCTGCAAAATGGCATTCTGTCAGTCCTAAGTAAGAGCCCTTCTGTGAAGTGTTGAGAGATATTGTTCAACCTGCCAATGTTGTGAACCAAATCATGTGAGCAGGGTGCTAAATGTTTCACATTCACCACTAGTACAAGAGATCTGCCTCTGGTGTTCACACTCATATGAAACATAAAAAGTAGGTAGAAGCAAGTCAGTAAATTCTTGGGGATGAGAGATAAGAGCGTGCAAAGCTTTCTTCTTGGCTAGTGGGAGTTCACTTTTCAATGCCAATTTATTTGCTGGAAGGAAGAAAATAGAGAAATGTTTTTCTGAATGCTTACTCTTCATGTAGCCTTTGATGATAACCACATACCCCCTCTGAGAGGATCTCCTTAATACGTAAGTGCTCTAGAAGGGCTACATTTAAGTTGGTGGCTACAGTGACACTCTTGTATGTCAAATAAGCCGGGCACCTGACAGTTTGGTCTTTATAATCGAAAACCTACAGTCCTTTCTCTTTAGAGGTGGATAGTTGAGATATGCTGGAATATGCCTCTGGTGTAGGTGAACAGAGACCTACACTGCTGCTTGCTGGTATTTTGATTAGGATTCTGGCACCTGTTAGCCTGAAAATTTAATTTAATGTTCTACGTGCACATGTTTATCCAATCTCTGTTGATGGCATTCAGAGCAGATGGCTGCTTTCTCCTGAAGCTCTGAGTGTGTAAGACTGGATTGATTAATGATATTTGTCTGCAGCTTTGATTTCCTAACTTTCTTTGCTGTTATGGAGCAAATACTGAAAGAGTGAAAACTGTACCATGAAGGAATGGGTATTGTTAGTGGCTCACAGGAGCTTCATCAGGTAGCAATGAGGAAGTGCAAGGAGCCAAGCTTTCAGCATTTTCACGAGAGTTTAATGTCCTGGTCAGTGAGCAATACAATACTTTAAAGGAGGCAAAAGGACTGAGCCAGGCCTGTACCCTCTGTTATGTTATGATAGGATTTGAGGCACTCCTTTTACATTTTTTTCTACTTTACATTTTGAGTTAATGAAAGATGCCATCTTGCAAGCACTAAAAGTACAGCAGCACTACATTTAGCAACATAGCAGATACAATGTGGGCAGCAGCTGTATCAGATTCCCTACTCTTTCTCGGAAGTGCCCTTCAACCAGGATATAAAGGGACAATGTCGGGAGATGCAAGAGGAAATCTGTTTCCATGCTCAATCAGTCATTAGCTATATTGCTGACATTGCATACAAGAAAGTCAGTTGTGGTTGTACCAGTATCTGTATGATTTGAACACCTATTCACTTTGATTTGGATTTAGACCACCTGCTCATTCTACTTAGCAGCCATCAGATAGGAGCTAGTGATGACCTGGGCCAAATTCAGCTCAGATGACATGCAGATGAACAGCTCTGTATTTCATTACCAGTACCCTATGCCATTCAGGCCCTTTCTTTCTCTTGTGTATTTTAAACTGCATTTCAGTTGCTAGTAATTCTGGTCAGAGTTTCTGATTTATCTCCATTCCATCCAGATTATTATGCACTTTTACTATTATGTACTAAAGTTTTATTAAACTTAACAGCTCTCAGATTCTTCAGAGTTCTAAGGGGTCTTGGGTTCACAATGGAAAGTGAAATCTGAGTGATACTTCTGAATGAAAAATCCACCAGTGACTCATTTGTGTGTTTAAAAATAAAGTGAGCACAGCAAATAGCGTGACATCAGTTATTCTGCCAAAAATCATTTGTCATCTTCAAGGTGTAGTTGCAAACTTAAAAGGTTCCAGGCCCATCATGTTTTAATTTTCTACTGTCGGGCATTCCTGGTCCTTACAAACATCCAGGACCAATGACTTAGTCTCAAATTAAAGCATTGTCATCCAGCATGAGATATCCTCTCTCCTAGAACTGGAAGGGACCTTGAAAGGTCATCGAGTCCAGCCCCCTGCCTTCACTAGCAGGACCAAGTACTGATTTTGCCCCAGATCCCTAAGTGGCCCCCTCAAGGATTGAACTCACAACCCTGGGTTTAGCAGGCCAATGCTCAAACCACTGAGCTATCCCTCCCCCCCGAGACTTGAGACTTGAGTTCGATTCCTCATTCAGCCACTGACCTGCTGTGACGCTGGGCAAGTCACTTCACCTCTCAGGGCGTGTTTCCCATACCTTCCTTTGACTTTTTTCTGTTCAGATTGTAAGCTTTTTTAGACATGGACTGTCTCATGTCTGCTACAGTGCCTAGCACAAAAGGACAGTATCCTATAGGGTCTACTTATACCGTCATACAAAATAATAGTAATAATATAAACATTGCTATTTTTAAAAGTTTTTAAACATTCGATCCTTTTTTTTTTTTAACCCTGTCAGCCATGTTGATGGGTTACTGTTGTCATACTTTCCTGAATCCTTGAAAGGAAAAATCCTACTAGTTTGTTAAAACATATTATCTTTTTGTTAAGACTGCTAATATCAAATTGGCATATACTATAGAGCCCTCTCTCTCATTATAAATTAAGAAACGGGGCATAGTATAGCTCTCTGGTCAACATCTGTCCAGAATGGCATCTGTAATTTCAGGAAGCAGATAAAATTGTAGAGTTGTTGCTTAAGAAAATTCTTTATTTAGGCTCCTAAATATAAACGTCAAAGAAATGTCTGCAGCAGAGTTTTGAATATACTCTAAAGTTCATTTATTAGCCCCACCTGCTGGTTATACTATATTAATAGATTAAGAAGATATTTTAAGATCAAACGATTTAGTTCTAGCTGGTTGAAAATTCTTGAGATATTTATTTATGAAACAGACATCATTACTGTTGAGACATTCAAAATATTGCCCAACAATTTCCTTAGCAATTCATGTTGTTCACTTTGGTAACTTACCTGCAGTAACATTCGCTTGCGTCAAATATCCTCCAATACTAGCCAGGCTTCCTCCTCTTTCCTTAAAAAGTGTGAAGAATTAGGCATACCTTTTAGTTTTCCCATGGCTTCTATCTTCTAGATAAAATTTCCTGACCCAGTGAAAAGTGTCACAAACAACTTTCATATAAACTAGTGAATAGAGGTGTTGCTTTTTATAACAATTTCAGATGTGAACAAGTTGTTTACTTTAAAAAATTTTGCAGTGTTGAAAATATAATGCTGTAAAACTTTCAGGCTGGCACTAAACCTACAGTTTACTCTGAGTTCCCTAATGTTTCTGTCCTGATGATACAAAGAAATGGCAGAAGTATTTTTAATGCCTAAACCAGTGGTCTCCAACCTTTTTACGCACAAGATCACTTTTTGAATTTAAGTGCAACCCAGGATCTACCCTGCCCCTTCCCCAAGGCCCCACCCCACTCACTCCATACACCCCCGTCACTCGCTGTCCCCCACCCTCACTCACTTTCGGCAGGGAGTTGGGGTTTGGGAGGGGGTGCGGGCTCTGGGCTGGGGCCGAGGGGTTCCGAGTGTGGGATCAGACTCCAGGCTGAGCCCTGAAGCAGAGGGTTGGGATGCAGGAGTGAGTGAGGGGTGCAAGCTCTGGGAGGGAGTTTAGGAACAGGAGGGGGCTCCAGGCTGAGGCAGAGTGTTAGAGTGAAGGAGGGGGTATGGGGTGCTGGCTCCAGGAGGGAGCTCAGGGCTGGGGCAGAGGTTCAGGGTGCAGGAAGGGGGTTCAGGGTGCAGGAGGGGGTATAGGGTGCTGGCTCCAGGAGGGGGGCTTCAGGGCTGGGGGTTGGGGTGTGGGAGGGGTGCGGGCTGCTCCCAGGTGGCACTTACCTCGGGTGGCTCCTGGCCAGCGGCACAGTGGGGCTAAGGCAGGTTCCCTGCCTGCCCCGGCCCCACGCCGCTCCCGGAAGCGGTCAGCACACCTGTGCGCCCCGGGGGGGGGCACATGACTCCGCTCACTGTTCCTGCCTGCAAGCACCGCCCCCGCAGCTCTCATTGGCCGCAGTTCCCCGTTCCTGGCCAATAGAAGCTGCGAGGGCGGTGCTTGCAGGAAGGAACAGTGTGTGGAGACCCCTGCCCACGCCCCCTCCCCTTGTCCCCCTTCCCTCCCACCCCAGGGCCACGGTGGCCACTTCCAGGAGTGGCGTGGGGAACAAAACAAAAAAGGCTCTTCATATTTATTCAGCTCCTGGTCACCCAGCAAGTGATGGTTGAATTGTAAAAGTTGGCACCATGGAATAAAGTATCATATTTTAATTCTTAGTTTACCCTTTTTCCAGCTTTGCTCTTAGATATGCAAGACAATTTTTGCTGCATGTTGAAGCTCAAGAGCTTGCTTTTTTTTTAATTCAGTGCTCCTCCTCTGTTCCTTCACATGATGTTACTTTTCTTCTGTCTAGACATATCAGTTCTGTGCTTTGCACTTAAGTGCAATTCACTATGTATTTGTTTTATTTAAGCACTATTTTCATATATGGCACATGTCCAGGCTGACTTTCTGTGCAAACTATGATGATCGGTGGTCTGATTCTAATCATACTGCCATTAGAAAGAGGGTTCCACTACACAATAATTATTTTGCTCCAAAAAATTATTTAAAAACAAAAATTTCAATTAATATAGTGTGCTGCATTTAAGTTTCTTACATAAACTCTTCAAAAACTCACATCACTTTTAGAACATGAATACATGTACCAAACAGTGTTCATTTAAGAATTATCTGTTTTGGCAACAAGTTGAATTTGAAGTTAAGCACTTGTGCATCTATATTTGCAGGATTGGGGTCTTGAATAGCAAATTTAGCAAGTCAGATAAATTTTCTTGGCGTGACAAAATATAAACTTGAGTTCAATATCCTATTCAGTTTCCTAATTTAATTTGATAAATGCATTGTGTGGCATTATTTTTAGCCTTATTTTAGGTTTCATGGATTATATTATTGCTTCAGGATTTTTTTAAATTTTGTTTTTAAATTACTGTTACTAAATATCTCTGTGTGACCATATCCTAGGAGTATGGCCTGAAGGATCAGATGGGACGGATATAAATGCTCTTGTCAGATCCCATAATCGAAAGGTGATAGCAGTTGCTGATGATTTCTGTAAGGTCCATCTCTTTCAGTATCCCTGCTCCAAGCCAAAGGTAAGTTTAGACTACTCTGTGGGGTGTATTATAGGCAGGGTCGTAGCAAATGTTACAGTCGCCTGACACTTCCCCTTATAAGACCCTGTTTTCATTTGCAACTTTGGCAAACTTTAATCATTTGGGGTGAAATTTTCCATGCCAGATGGTTCCGCTATTTGTAAGGTGGGTCCCCACAGCAGATCCATCCCGTGCACTGAATGAGACAGGAACTCTGTCAAAATAATAGTGTGTAGGAAGAGAATAACTTATTTATAAAATAATTTTGTTTGCCACTTGGTGGCAAACTAAATGTGTTGCTGGATGTTTTAAAGTTATCTATTTTTTTTAAAGTCTGTATCTGGCCCTTTCCAAGTACAGATTTCATGAGGACATTATAGCCAGCCCAAACGTGGAAAAGTTTCCTACAATTTGGAATGTTTACAATTCAGTAATAATACTCAAGAGAAAAGTATATCTTTAGGGGGGTGGGAATTGAATGTAGATTGGTGTATATAAATTATTCTTTGGAATACTCCAACAGATATTTCAGTTGTGTTTTGATATTAACAAATAACAGGAAAAGATTGTGACAGTTAATTCCTCCCTCTCTCTCTCTCCTTCCCCCCCCCATTTGTTTCAATAGGCCCCCAGTCACAAATACAGTGCTCACAGCAGTCATGTGACAAATGTCAGCTTTACACATAACGATGGTCACTTGATTTCAACTGGAGGGAAAGACATGAGTATTATTCAGTGGAGACTTGTGGAGAAGATAACTTTGCCACAAAATGACATTGTAGTAGAAATTGGTACAACCAAAGCACCCATCCCTGCCAATGAAAGTGTGGTAGAGTCCCCTGCACCTCTTTCACAATCATTTGATGAAATGGCACAAAATGAAAGCCTAACCGACAGCTCTCTCACATGTTTGGAGAGCAATTTGGAGCAGACTGTGGAGGCCAATGAAGAGCAAAGTGAGGAGCAAAGTGAAGGGAGCAGTCTGGATCCAGGTGAGCCAAGCTACGAAGAACCATCTAATGAAACAAGTGAGGAGCAAAGTGAATCCACTGTTACTGAAGACCAGCAAGATAATTCACCAGTGTCTTAACACTTCAAACTCAGATGGTCTTTATTTTCCATTGGTGTGTGTGCTTTCATAAAAGGGAGAGGGTTTAAATAGGGGAGGGGGAATAGCTGAGATTTATGCCCACTCCAGCTGTTGGGTTTCAGTGAGATTTTTAGTCTGATTTTGTTTCAATATGTGAACTATCCCAAGGGCCCAGCTTGACAGTTTATGTCAAGAACTGGTCAAAGTTAGTAGTGGGACATGACCGTAGGTTCATTTTTAATTCTGAAATTGCTGTCAGGAAGTGGCATGATGTAAATACTGGAAAAAAGGTTAGTTCTAAGGAAAAGCTGAAATAAACCACTTTAATCATGTGAAAGTGTTTTCTGGAAGTACTAACACCAAACAGAAGCACTGATTAAATACCAGCTGAATAATACTATGCTGTTTTTCCAGGTGCATAAAAAAAACTGAAAAATTAATTTTGTGGAGCTGTTCTTTCTTTTTTAATGAAAAAAAAGAGGAAAAACAAGAGAATAATGCCATGTTCATGAAACTGCCTTCTTGATCTAACACATATGCAATTTTCTAACACTACTAATTCCTAATGGAGTGTGGACATGCTTGCAGTCTGTCTGCCCTAGGTGCTGCTCATTCTAAGGCAAATCATATCAAGGAACAGTTTTTATTGATCCTTGTGTATAGTCCTATTTAATCCTAGAACTTTAACCAAACATCGGTTTGTTTATGAATTATTGGCAACCTAAAAGTTGATTAAAATGTAAGAGGCAATTGTGTTTTCAAAGAATTGCTCGCCTTGATATTTTGAAACTCAAGAATCTTTATATTGACCTTGATGTGAACAGAAGAGAATGCATGACAAGAAAACAAAAGTCTGATGGTTCTAGGGTTAAACGTAGGCTTCAAGCAGAAATCGTTCCCTTACTACTAGGAGGAATATAAATATAGTTAAATTGTTAAATTGGTGCTTGGCATTAGTATAGTAAGATGTTACCTTTTCCCCCCCTATTTTGGGGTGACTTTAAGAATCAATAAACTGCAAATGTTTTTTTACTGGCTCCTTTAGCAGTCATGATAATATCACAATAATTTAGATAATGTTGCGTATTTTGAGATTTCCTCTCTTTTTTTTTTTTTTTTGGTGATTTTTCTCTCGCCGAGTTGCTGTAAGCCATGCAGCTCTTATGTGGCTATACCTGGCCAGTTACAGGATATCATGGCATTTGTTATGCATTTGGAAAGTAAACATTTTTTTTTTTTTTTACAAAACTTGTCAGACAGCTACAATTGTTTCTTAAGTACATAAGTTTCCTACATTAAAAAGAAAAAATAGATTACTGACAAATATGCATTTCCTATGTACTTGTTTATATTTTGATTACATAGAATTTTTTTAACTTGCTGCATCGTGCTGATATTTTAGGTTTTAGTTAGAAAGTCTTGTTTAGAAACTTTGGATGAGTTCATAAGTCTTAAGTGTGCGAGCGTTTACGTGATTGTGCCATTCCAAAGTGCATCAAAACTGTCATTCCCTTTCTAGTATCTTCTCAGGAGTAATGCTACAGATCAGGTATTTAGTCATCATTTGGTAAGATCAGAAAACTCAAATGGACTCCCAAAGGATATTTAGAACATTTATATATCTATATAAAATATCCTCTTGTTTACAACAGTTCCAGAAAACCTCAAAATAGTTCTCTTCAAATGAAGGGAGATGTGGATTCCAAGCAACCCAACTGTTTAAACTGTGCTCTGTACATAGTATTTTATTGGAGAGCTCTAGTGTGTCTGACTTACAGTTTTGCCAAATAATAGTGACAGAAGATAAAGATCAGCTCATCAAATTATATGGTTTCAAATGAGGAATATGCTGTAAGGTGAGAAAATAATTCTAATAAAGGATAAAGGTTTATCAAAGCTAGTGAGGCACTGAGCTCTCTCTATCATTTTTATGAACTCCACATAAGCAACACATGTCATTTTGAAACATCCATCACTTAGGGGTTGCCATGTAAAGTGAGAGTTATAGTTGTGATATTCTTGTGTTGTCGTTCAAAAGACTCAACTAATATGCAAAAAGCCTTACAGCTTTCAATTGCTGGCAACTACTGTTTAACCGATAATTAAATCTGTGATAATGGATGGAAATGGGTGGGATTATGTCACTGTAGATGTTTTAGACAAATAATTGTGAATGAAATATGATTCAGAGTGTTTCATGTGAAGATGTTTGAGCCATTTCTATCTATCATGCATTCCTGTCTCATGGCAGAAAATTTTGAAGATTAAAAAAACAATAAAATAATCAAAATAATACATTGTCTTTGTCTTTCAATATAAGTGCTGATTCCTTTATATACATATTAAATGTCAGTTTTCATCAGATCCCTTAATGTGTTTATCAGATTATTTTTTATTTCTTTCTTTAATACCTTCTTGTCTCTGACTAATGCTTTTGCTGGTAACCCTCTTCCTGGCTACTAAAGGGTACCTATTCACCAGGAAAAACAGGAAATACTCCTACTACTCCAAATGACATTAATGTGAGCGGACTTACATTCTGCTCATTGCTTTGGGAAATGAACCCCTAAGTGGTTGGGGTTTAGACGCATACAGTGTCTCCATTCCATTGATGGACTAATAGGTTGGCAAGACCCCAGTATAGCAGTTGATTAAGGAGATTACAATACTGGGGAGAATATTGTTGTGCTTTACTGGACTCTACACAGACTTTATGCCCTGATGTTGTTTATTGAAACACTACCAGGAAATTTAGAATGTGTCCTACTGAAAGGTGCATGAAGGTTTAGTGTTGTATTTTGGATATAATGTAGTAAGTAAGCAATCATGCTTTCACTTCACTAATGTCATCATCGTGGGTCAATATTGGGGAGCTGGTAGCGACCCCTATATATTTAGATTGCCTTAACACTTGCCGCCATTAAAGATTCTTGTATTTTTTGTTTTTTGTTTTTTTTAAAGAATCTGTAACATCTCTGTTGCTTGCTGCAGACCTTTGAAATTCAGGAGAGAGAAGAGAAGGGCCTTTTCTTTGTCCCATGAAATTCCATTCAAGTTTGACGGAGATATCAACTGCAGGCCAATCTCCCGCCAACCATCCTCACTGCGGACATAGCACTTGGCACCAGCTGCCCATTCGTGATAGTGGCTTTCTGATAATGCCAGCTAACATGCTTTGTCCTGTAGCTCAAGTGTTAGGTGTCTGTTCTGGGGCTGAAGGCTCATGGTTCAAACTCTGCTGATGGTTCACAATGGAGGGGCACAAAGGGTTAGTTGCACTTAATTAATTTTTTTTTAATGTAGGGAATTGTATTTTAAAAATCTACATTAAAAACATTATTTAGGTTCAAGTCAAGTCCTTGAAAGTTAGGAGATGCCAGGTTTATGGATGCCTGTGCAACCTTAATTTGCCCCCTTTGTATTTATGTATTATGGTACATCCTTTAAATAAGTGATCACATATATCTTTTTCTACAGAACCCTTGCCTTATTCAGTGCTCAGGATAGACACAGAAGGGAAGGAAATTTAAGGTGGTACGGGCCACTGTGAATCTGACATTTCTTAACTTTTGAGTACTTGACTTTACAACCTAAATAATGTTATTCTAACAGTCTTTGTATATAATATATATTAAGATGCAGCATTGTATTTTCACTGGTTCCCACAATATAATGCACACATTCTAGTTTTAATTTAATTTAGAAAATTAGGCCAAAATTCAATCTTCATGTTAGGCTGATGTAACCCACTATTCATTGTATTTTGTGTCTTGCTCTGTGCCCAATCTACAGCTGATGTGAGTGTGTTACGGCCCACAGCTAAAGAGCTTTTGACTGTTGGAGATCCCTGGTTCAAGTGTCAGCCAAGATGGTGGTGTCATAAGTGAAGGTTTGTCTGGGATTTGAACTGCTGTGGGCCACAAATGCTCGGTATGAGCTTCCTCAGGGGAAGCATGTAACTCACTAGTCAGTGTGTGTTACCTGTCCCCCTTGTGCCCAGGCCATGGAGGATGTGAATGTGTTACATCTGTCAGCCAATGTCTGCCTCTTTAGCCTATGCTTTCACTTCTGGACATCCCCAGTTCAATCCCTCGTGTCTGCCAAAATGGCGACTGTCATACTAGGTTAGAAAGCTTCCCTTCCATTTCCAAATATATTCTTTTGTGAAGAAACATAAACTAGTAAGTGTTACAACGTAAGCAGCATTGGTGATTCAATAGGTGGCACTTTTCTTCAAGTCAGTACTGAACCAATGCCCATCGTGCTGAGGGCATCACTTGTGCTAGAGAGTGTCTTCCAACCCGAGATATAAGGCTTGGACTCTGTACGTCATAAAATATCCAATGGCACCTCTCCGAATAATGGAGTTGCCAATCCTGGTGTCCTAAATTCCAACTTGATATATACAAATCTATCATAAGTGTGTGTGTGGGTGGTCCCCATTACCATAATATCTGAGCATCTCAAAAACTCTCATATTCATCCTCACAACACTTCTGTGAGATAGGAAAATATGATCCTCCTCGTTTGACAGATGGGAAATAACACAAAGAGACTAGGTAACTTGCCTAGGTCACACAGGGTTATTACAATCTGCCTACCAAAATTTGCAAGTAAATAGAGTAGGGAAATCCTGTCTCCATGGAAGTCACTCGGTGTCTTGCCATTGACTTCATGGCAAATAATCTTCACTTACTCTCCTAAACTGCTATTCAAACTTGCTATACGTCGTTGACACACTTCACCCCAGTGGTTCATGAAGAGATCTTTATGTAACCATTACAGGGCTAATTAACATTGGAATCTACACATGGAAGTTGCTATTTGGGTATATTTTACCTGTGTAATAATTATCTATGTATGGTCTATGGATGTTTTTTGGTAAACTTTCTGTATAATGCAAGTATGTGTCTTAATACTGAAAACTCAACCAGCTTGTTTGTAGCTAAGTTACACTTTCATTGGAGCTAAAATAAATTGTTCACTAACTTCCTGAAAAATGGCCAAGTGCTGTTTTCTGGCATATGCGTTGTATAAGTCAGTAAGGCAGTACACTTTGCCTTCCTTCTCCACTGCACTTTCTTAGAATTATTCCCCTTTCCTGAGTCAAATCCCAATTTAAAATACACCTTTCATAAACCTACCTGTCTGATGTTTCAATCTGTGACTTGCATAATTTTGCTTGCCCACTCGTCCAGGATGAGTATTTCTGAGTATAGAGTATAATAATGGTAAGTGAGCAGAGTTTGTGCTGGGTCAGAACATTTTCATGATAATTTTGGAAGGCGTTTGTGTGCAGTAGGAATTGTGCATGCAGAGTACAGTCTAATGTGTTTGTATAATACAAAGAAAAAGCTATTTAAACGTAACTGCTAAGATACATGTGAAACAAATATCAACAGTCTACTCTTGGTGTAACTACTCTGTCCTACTCAAATGTTCCCATATTGCTTTTGTCATGTACTCCATGGTAGGTTGTGGGGTGGCTACTAGCAGGTCAGGCTTCAGTACCAGATTGGGACTGTCTACAGAGCTTCCATCGTGAAGAGAGATACAAGAGATGTAATTTTAATGTGCTGCCAGGTATGGCTGTTACCCGCTCAGGTAAGGTATGTTTGTTGTTTTGGGGTTCATCCCAAACCAGTAAGAGGCTGTGTCATCTCCCCTGCAACTCCAGGTGCCTTAAACGTTATGCTGCTGTGGCTCACAGCCCTGACACCAACAGCCAGACTACAAGCAGGTCACATCCTGGCTTCCACTGCCTAATTACTTTGGCAGAGTGACCCTACCACCCACCAGTCCCAACTTTCCCAAAAAATGTCTGCTCTGCAGTGTCCAGCACTCTTGACTGTAGCACTCACAGAATCTTACTAAGTTTGTTGCTCTTTTGAAGAGACAATACACTGCAGTTCATTTACTGAAATGGGGCTTGACAAACACTCTTATTTCAATCACAGCACTGAATTGGTTTATAGTAAAACAAGTTTATTTAACAATTAATATATGGAGATATACCTATCTCATAGAACTGGAAGGGACCCTGAAAGATCATCAAGTCCAGCCCCCTGCCTTCACTAGCAGGACCAAGTACTGCTTTTTGCCC